CTTCTAAATTATTTTGGACTCAATTATTAGTAGTTTACTTACATATAGTCTTTTATATTCTATTATTTATTATATACATGTAGTTGTCATATTGGCTTATATTGGCAAATATATATCATATTTAATTTTTTTTATATGCAACAATACTATAATATTATAATACAAACAGCAGTTTACAATTTAGTTAACCTCTTTGGCAAAAAAATATAATAAATATTTAATTTATTTAGATGTGCAAATAAATTATAATCTTACAACGAAACTTCACTATAAATAAAAGAGAAAATGTCTAAAGTAACTAGGGAAATAACTACAAAAAATAACAGATTAAGTACTCAAAGATTGGTAAAATAAATCAATAATTAAATTAAAATTAATTATTCATAACATAATTTATTATTCAATGAAATTATAAATATAATTTTTTTTTAAATTATTATTTAAATATGTTTACGTGCAACACACGCCGTGCATTGCTAATAAACTTAGATGCAAATACGATCAGTAAACTTATAGTCAACTCATTAGGATACAAAAAATTAATTTCGTACAACATAATTTTTTTAGATCTTAAAACATTATTCATTCCGACATCCTCCGTATAGTATCCGGCTCAAGAGCCGGGCCACTAAAATGGTCGCCTTGGACTCTCAAAATTTTAGGACCCTAACTAAATTTCCAGTCCTTAGTGCAAGCACATACCATGAGGCCCTTTTGAAAAGATTGAGTTTACAAGACCAATGTATTTGACAAACATTCTATGTAAAATCTTCTGGAAAGATCTAGAAATAGGAAAGGTTTTTACAAAGTCCTAAAAATTAGCATAACTTTGTAGAAAGGTCGAAACAATTGCATACCCTTCTAGAAATGTCTAAAAATAGCAATGTCTTTTAGAAAGACAAAAAAATAGAAAAACATTATAGAAATATTTCAAAAATAGCAAAGCTTTTAGAAAAGTCTGGCCGAAAAAATAGAAAGATCTTTAAAAGAACAAAACCTTCTAAAAAAATCCTAAAAAATTTGCTTATTCAAGCAATTTGTCTTGCATCCCTTGCACTCTTTCTCTCTCTATATATATATTTTGGCCACCACTCTCCAACTCTTTGACTCTATCTTACCCTTTTCAAGACTCAAGGATATGCAAATAATTCATAAAAATAAAAGGGATTTAATGTATTTTCACTAAACACGAAGGGGTACCAGTGTATATAATTTACTCAAAAGTTTGAGTAACATGAAACCGCCATGATTTTAGGCCTTCTCTATTTTAACTCTTTGGTATACATCTCAAATTAAACCACCAAGTATTTATTTTTATTTTTATTTTTTTTTGTTATAGGGTATTCAGGTTTGTACCAATTANTGAAAACCGCCATGATTTTAGGCCTTCTCTATTTTAACTCTTTGGTTTACATCTCAAATTAAACCACCAAGCATTTATTTTTATTTTTATTTTTTTTTGTTATAGGGTATTCAGGTTTGTACCAATTACTCCCTCAAGCTTAGCGGTTGACTACCGTGACTTAAGCTAGGCTATAGCATGTCCTTAAAGTGACAAGAGTGATTAGCCCTCAAGGAGTATGGAATGGGATTAAAGCTTAAACGTCTACCTTACCAAAGGTCAAGCTCAACCATTGACCCACCCGATTTCACCAAGCATTTTTTTAGTACTTTCCAAAAATATCAAACACCAAGCATTTTTTTAGAACTTTCTAAAAATATCAAAAAGAAGTTGATGGAAGGATTGAGGGATATATTGCCACCTAGGATAGAGAATATCAAGTTTCTCTCACAAATTAGGAGGGACAATTACACGCCATTGCCCCATAAACATTCATTGGATTTCCGTTTAATTATGCTAGAATTAAGGATTTTTCACATAATTAGGGAAAACAAATAGGGGAAGAGAGAGAAACACAAAGAAGAGGAGAGGAAAAGCAAGAGCTATCTATACACACAACGCATTTTCTTCTCTTCTTCTTCTCCTCCCATTTTTCTTCTTTCTTTTCAATATTATGTCTCTGTAAACAATATTAATTGGGAGCTTCCCTTGTTGAAGAACAACGTTCAACGCAAGTGTTGTATAAAAAAGGCTCTAAAGCAGGTAGGTCTTCATCCGTTGTATATATAGAGAGAGAAAGAGGTAGGTGTAGATTAGTGAAGTTGTCTACCATTAAAGAGTGTGTTAATTGAATTCTTTGACATTACGAGCCATGCAAAAAAGATGAAGTTTTTAACAGAAAAAAATATTGGATGAATTTTGTAACATTTGATCAATTTTAACCGTTATTATACTTTTATAAGTTAAAGATTAATTTTTTTAACAGATAGATATTATATATATATATATACATATATATATATATATGTATAGATTGAATTTTTAGAGGGATATATGCTAACTAAATTAGGTCTTTGGGCTTTCNATTTTTATAAGTTAAAGATTAATTTTTTTAACAGATAGATATTATATATATATATATATATATATATAGATTGAATTTTTAGAGGGATATATGCTAACTAAATTAGGTCTTTGGGCTTTCATTCGTTGCAATCATACGTGAATGTATTGCACGTAGACGCAGGAAGGTTGTCGGACACAGCCGCCGCCTTATTAGAACTGGTGGTGCCCCGTAATGTGGTTGTGGTTGCCGGCATCCATGGAGGAGAAAAAAAAACACACACACTCAAAAATATTCGTAAACACGTATTTGTATGTACATATATATCAGACACATGCAAATGCATGCATGCACCTAACAACAATGTCTTCTACGGAGTTTCTACTCCTTCGCTTATTAATTTGACCTAACTCTTTTCAGGCCGGGACTTTGCATCGTGTACAAACTACAAGTTCCATTTCTATGGCTCCAGGCAAGTTTAAAAAAGCAATCGGGGCGGTCAAGGACCAGACCAGCATAGGCCTGGCCAAAGTGAGTAGTAGTAGCTCACTATCTGACCTTGATGTAGCCATCGTCAAGGCCACTCGACACGAGGAATACCCGGCCGACGAGAGGCACATTCGAGAAATAGTGGGATTGACATGTTATTCTCGTGGCTACGTAAGTGCATGTGTGAATACCATCTCAAAACGCCTTAATAAGACCAAGAATTGGGTTGTGGCACTGAAAACCCTAATGTTGATCCAACGACTGCTCACCGATGGTGATCCTGCATACGAGCAAGAGATCTTCTTCGCGACGAGGCGTGGGACCCGCATTCTCAACATGTCGGATTTCCGAGACACTTCTCAATCCAATTCTTGGGATTACTCTGCCTTTGTGCGTACATATGCTTTGTATCTTGATCGGCAGCTCGAGTTCAAGATGCAGGACCGGCGGGGGAAGCATAGCGCATTTTCGTACGAGGACAATGAAGAGGAGGTCGGTCCGACTGCCGTTGTTGTGAGGGCCACACCGGTGAGGGAAATGAAGAATGAGCAAATATTTTCGAGGGTTCAACATTTGATGCAACTCCTGGAGAAGTTTTTAGCATGTCGACCAACAGGTTCATTGGTGTACTTTCTACGAATGCAATCACTAATTACGTAAAATACTAGTCAATCCTAATCCGACTAGTATGTCGACCAATTAATCACATTTATTGCCTTAAAAAATTGCGTTATTTATATTTGACACTAAATTGACTTAATTATTATTTTAGCGGATCTTACCATTTTTGAATTTTAGGAAGAATTGTCAATTTTAACTCACTAATTTTATATCATGTAAATCTATCGGGTCAAAAATTGCCGACCCCATAGTAAATATATATTTCTCTGTGATATACTTTCTAGCCCTTGCTGATGCATTCTCTAATCATCAATCTTGCAACAGGTGCAGCAAAGAACAACAGGGTTGTGGCTATGGCTCTCTACCCTACAGTGAAAGAAAGTTTCCAGCTATATTACGACATAACAGAAATAATGGGCTTAGTAATTGATCGGTTCATGGAGCTTAGCATCTCCGACTCTGTCAAAGTACATGAAATTTTTTGTCGCATTTCAAAGCAGTACGATGAGCTTGACATGTTCTACAACTGGTGCAAGACTGTCGGAATTGCTCGAGCTTCTGAATATCCTGAGGTTGAGAAAATCACACAGAAGAAACTTGATATTATGGATGAGTTTATACGCGAGAAATCGGCCATGGCGCAGAACCAGAGGTTGAAGAACGTTGAATCAACGAATGACCCTGATCAAGTGACCGTTGAAGAGGGGGAGGAGCCCGAAGAGGACATGAATGCAATCAAAGCATTGCCACCACCAGAAGGATTTCCTGAAGAAACTGATGAGAAAGAAGAGGTGGAAGAAAAGAAAGAGGAAGAAAATAAGACCCAACAAGAGGGTGATTTGTTGAACTTGGGTGAAGATGCACCGACCTCCGAAGAGCATGGAGATAAACTGGCTTTGGCTTTGTTTGATGGTGGTCCAGCAGCAGCAACAGCTGCAACGGGTACTTCCGCATGGGAAGCCTTCAATGAATCCGGAGATTGGGAGACAACATTGGTTGAATCAGCAAGTCATTTGTCGAACCAGAAAGCATCACTTCCTGGGGGATTCGATACCTTGATGTTGGATGGTATGTATCAACAAGGAGCGATGACAACTGCTGCAGTTTCCTCAGGTTATATAGCTACTGGAAGTGCTAGCAGTGTTGCGCTCGGATCGGCCGGAAGGCCGGCAATGCTGGCATTGCCGGCACCTCCAACAGCTGATGGTGAAGCTGCTGCAACACCGGGTGCTGACCCGTTCGCAGCCTCCCTTGCCGTGGCACCACCGTCTTACGTACAGATGTCAGATATGGAGAAAAAGCAGAGACTGCTGGTGGAGGAGCAGTTAATGTGGCAGCAATATGCAAGGGGTGGGATGCAAGGACAGGTAGGGTTAGCAAATGTACAACCAAACTCCTATCCATACAATACGGGGAGTTACACAAACACCTATTAAGGCTTTTGATGAAATTGGGGTAGCATCAGTATGGTCATTTTTGTGAGGTCTGGGGTAGTATCAGTACGATTATACAGATTCTAATTAAAAAAATTACTCTATTACACTGATAAGCACTAGTTGGTACCCATCATTGTTGGCACAACGAGAGTTCCTGAAGAGAATAAGTTACTGGAAATTTTCCAATGGTTTAAAAAAAATGCAGGATGCAGTGAGAAAATCACTCTGCGGTAACAACCAAAACACTACCTAAAACCAGTTTTGCTGTCGACAAAAGCTTGGATCGATGGTTCCCTTCCAAGAAAATCATACAATATTTCAACAGGATCTCTTGTTCCTCCTGGAGCTAATACCTGACAATGATTTTACTATGTTAAAGTGATACATAAATCCTATCCCTAATACTAGTAACGGAGAATTTTTATAAATCCATTTGTTGATTCATTGAAGTAACTTGATTACCTTATTCCTGAATTCCAAGCCTGCATATTGGTTGGAAAGATCACCACCAAACTTCAAGGCAAATATATCGGCCGCAAAAACCTATAAAGGAGTGTAAACATTTACAAGGGGTGCACAATCAAAGAGGCAAAAGCATCCACTGTAAATGTTTTGCAACTCTTGAACAAATTCATTATAGCTAATTTGTCATAAGGCATACAGCAATTAAAAATCAGAAAATATACCGAACAGTGGCAAATCATAGCAATCCAACATACTACAATCATTAGAGCCAATATCCGAGAACACTAGTAATAATGATAGCTAGTAATAGCAGAAGATAATGTATTTCCAGCAATATGAATACCAACAAAGGTGTGATTCACACCTCACTCCAAATGCGACTGTAGCAAGCAGCTTCATAGCCAATAGCACTACGCAGGAAACAGGAAGCTGGGTTGGATCCTTCTAACATTGGCAATCCTAACATCACCTGGGGAACAAAGCCACCGGTAAATGTACTTACCACAAGCCTACCTCATAAATGAACTACATCAGCAACTAATACCTTTGGATGGAGATGCTTGAATAACCCAACAATGTCAATATTTTCAGTTGAATGTATGATCTGATCAAAGAGACCTGGAATTGACATTTCTGAGCTTCATTAAGTAGGCAAAAACTTTTGAGCTATCTGCATTACATTGATTGTGCATAAGTATGATATACTTCAATGTGCCACCAATATGCTCTTAAGTTCAATAGTGTTGAGAAGGTATTAGCCACCAGTGACTGTACTATCCTAAAAGAAGTTTTGGGCGGTGCTTCCTCTTGAACCTCGCACAAAAATAGTTCTCGCCATCAGCTCGACTAAGAGTTCTGCATCAATAAAGTAAATTGAAGTTGCCTTGAGATGAAGGAACCGAGTGCCGAAAAAACCGCTTCCTTAAGGCTTCAAACTGCTAGTCATTAAGACTACTATGAAAGAAAAGTAAGGAAGCCCTAATCTTGACTCATTCTGCGTAAAATATAGTACCCCTTTATAAAGAACTTGATTTCAATCTCAAGAGAGAAATGAACACATAACTTCTTGTCCTTATAAACAACTCCCAAATATGGACATTCATTGACCTTTTGAAGTTTTGATTAGCCTAATATGGAATGATAAGTAACGCTAAGAAACAATTCTTGTAGTGAAATGAAATGATTACTTTCCACAAGAAGGCAAACTGCTTTTGCAGCACTTCAAGGATGTTGAAGTTCTTTAGTAACATTTTAGTTGGAAACTTAGGAATTGCCTCTGTTCTAATCGTCTCTTTTATATAGCATCTTTGTTTCTGTTCCACTCTTTCCTTTCCGTAACGCATTTGTGAGTTCAATCTATAGACAAACTACAAGAGACATTGTAGAAACATATAGCTGAAGATGCTTAAGTGCTTCAAGTGCATTTAAGCACATAAAACTTATGTGAAAGATATTGCATTAGTCCTAGTCCGTCTCTTAAATCACAAGCAATCCTATTGTTTTTTTATCTCATTCAAAATTAATTTTGGCCTACCCCTACCCCCGAATTACTATCAATACACATCAGAACACGTTTTCTCACTAGTGCAGTAATAAACCTTCTATAAACATATCCATATGTCACAAAAGTTCTCAGAAGTCCACAACTCACTTTTCTAGGGTTGCATGCCAGAATGCACCTGAAGACACATAGATCTGAAGTTTTGAAAATTCAAGGTAAGTGCTTTATTCCCAACCAAATCAAACATTTTTATAAATGTCCACTCCATATTATGGCACATTATGTTAGAAGGATAACAGCTAAACACTCACTCAGCCCAATGCCTTTGATCAGCAAAGCATGTCTCTGCTAAACACATGGACTTTTTGCATGTTAGACAAATTAATCGAAATCCCACCATTCACTTTGAGCGTGAGGTTAGGGAAGAATACCTATTGGGACACACATAATGAATGGACACCGTTAAAGCAGAATTCTATACCCAACAATTAATAGTTTCCATTCAAGCTATTCACATGGCCAAAAGCTTGTGTGAGGAGAATATTTAAACCAAGTGCTGTGAGGAGGACAGGACATCATTAAACAAGCAATAACATTAGCCACAATGTACAGCACAGTATTTGACAATCTAGTAACATGGCAACACTATATGACTTCATCTCAAATTAGGATGTTGAAATAAGTAGGTGACAAGAAAAAAGATGAAACTGCAACATTCAATATAAGATAGGGATAACACTAAAAAAACATTCAGCATAAGAATGAAAACAAAGCATTTATGTGCAACAGAAAGCATGCACCCGTAATATCATCCATTTGGATGCGCAACACCATTTGGATGCGCAACAAATATATTCAGAAAGTAAGAGTGAACACATGAGGCAGTGAGATAGATGCTGATGTCTGAGCAAAAACTTCATATGCATAAAGCTTTTCTTCTGACGTTCATATTTGCCACTAATATGATTGTAACAATTCTGAACCTCTAAAGACTTTCACATTTATCTCGCAGCTACTTCCTGAATGAGGAGAACTTGTGGAACTGCCCATTTTCAGACAAAAAAATAATAAAGGACTTACAGTAAAGAATTTCTTGCTTCAATTTAAGCGCTGAAAAGGAACACCGCCATCTCTTTAGAGATTTGCATATGTCATCCTTGATGGGCTTTGTGATATCCTACATATCAAAGACGTAAGTAGTACAACACATGATAGGGAGATCACGTAACAAAATATGGTCAACATAGTCTGTTAACAAGATAGGCACGGTATTATTAAGATTAAAGGTAGACAAGCAGACCCCCAACTCGTGGTTAGAAAACTCATAAGGTGCACAACAATGCTGCATACACACCTTGTTAGTCAGGTTTAACATATGCTTTGAAGAAAAGTACAAGGCTCTTTCAAAAGAATAGTACAACAGCAAATTAGAAGTCTATGCTTTACACATATCAGGACAAACTAGACGTCAAAAGCAAGTATCACCTGATGGAAACCAGATATCAACTTCAAAGAGACGCTTTCGTAACACCTAGACAGAAATTTTCCACAAGAACAACAGCATGAGATTTTGATTTTGTCTACACAAAATATGTTATAGTACACTTAAAATACTTACCAATTTTCCATCACCTGGGCCGGTATCTCCACAAAATCAGGATCCAGACGCAGTCCAGAAAATCTAGCAAATGATGCATGACTGCAAATATGATGAACCTAAAAGCTCATCATAAAGGAACATCATGTCAGCACAGATATCAGTGACTTGAAAAAATAGATCCTGATACTTTCAAGAAGGCACATTAGATAAAAAAGATAAAACTGCCGTAAAGTCTAGTATTGTTTGCATAGATGATCCAGCTCTCAAGTGGCACAAGAAGAATCCCATGCACTTTATTTGCTAAATTACATGGCGGATACTACAAGGTTGTGCCTAAGCTTTTTGGCTCAAAATGGCCTTCTACTTTATAAAGGAAAATTTTGGGTTTGTTAGTCCAAAAGTGAATAGATGGTGGAAATGCAACGCAAGAAATCTAGGATCTAATTTCTGGAGTACTACTACCCCAAAGGTGAAGTTGAGCAATTACGCTATGCATAGAAATAGAAGAATTAACTTATCAATCAGATCCAGAATAGAAACATAATAGAGAAATCATATAAAGGGAAACCTTTACAATTAACACCTACAGGAAATAACAGCCTAATTTTCCTGCTATTGTCCCAACTCATTATTATAATGATGGAAAGTCAAACTTCAAAATGCATGTATTCTTGCACTCAAAATCACATAAAAATAACGGAGAGACAAACATGCAAATGCATTCTATTCTGAAATAAACAGAGAGAGAAACCTAAAACTGTGAAAATTAGAAGGTGCATGCAAAGAAATGTGTTTGTATAAGCACTAAGCAGACACCAATTTCTAATATTTTTCCAGAAGCTTAGACACCAATTTCAGTTCAGGAACAACGGCATTTCTATATAACCGACAAATCAAAGCAAGCAATATCCACCGAAGATGATGAACAAGCATATCCAAACGAAAGTCTAGTCATGCTAAAGTGCTGAATCATTGTTGCACAACATATTCACTGATCTAACCACATTTACCATAATCAGTGTCTCTTTTTCCCTTTATTTATCTGATTAACACACCAAAGAAAAACTGAATTTGCACCAAGTGCCAAATTTATATCCGTAAACATTATCAAGACAAATTCTAAGTGTGCCAATTGCTTATTGGGTATTATGCATCAAATTACAGTAAACCTTTGGAACTGATGAACAGTTATTTCATAGTGTAACTCTGTAATATTTGAGTCATCCATAGTTAACAAAAATGTTAGAGTACATATTCAACCAAATTAAATAATCCACTAAAGAATTGGCAGAACCATTACCGAGTTCCTGTCAAGCCAAACACCCCAAAACAATATAGGAGGTCAGCTCTCAAAGCAGCTCTTGATTCAGTAATAATACTCATCATAGGACAAAAGAAAAGGGAGAAGATGGATTTCTTCAACCAACAGGAGCCAAGAAGGATAAAAAATTTATATTGATGTTGGATTGCCAATTTATTGAAACAAAGAAGAATTTAGAGAGGTTTAGATTAAAACAGCTTTTCGTTTGCCAAATGAATATCAATTGGGAAAAACACTTGCATTGAATTATCAAAAGAAGGCTAGCTGTTCAGAGTTTTTCATAGTCCAACCACTGGTCCCAATGTCCAGTTCTCTTTTCAAACCACTGGTATCTTACCTTACAACAAACATAACAGACCATAGGACTCAAGTAAAAATGTAAGTGCATAAGAATAACAGGAAGGAATACATTTAAGACAACGGCGAATGTGATAACTAAAAGGGAATACATAATTGGTACATTTGAGAAGTTTAACAAATCTTAAGTAGTTACCACAAGAAAGAAATGGTGTGATCAATTTCAATGAGAACAGGATACCTAAAATACTCTTAACATATTGGAGCATATAACATCACAAAAAAAGAGATAATGGTGATATGCATTGTGATTTTGTGGAAGCCATGCTTGAGGTTAGATAAAACATACCACATGACCAAACTCATGGAAAAGATTAACCAGTTCAGAGAATCGCAATAACTCAGGATGCCCTCCAACTTCCTTTCGACATTGAGAAATGAGTAATGCCACAGGAATCTGGAAACAGTTAATTGATACTATAAATGATAGCTGTTAGAACTATAGGGTGAACACAATACAATCGAAATATACAAGCCAAATCTCAATCAGGATCTAGCTGGATTGTTAAAAAACCATACTAAACACCGACTGCAACTCAAATGAGTGAAGGACCAATATTCATAATCCATCACAGAGACATTCAAATTTAGAAACTGCAGCATGAATTGAAACGGAAAGAGCAGCCACCAGGGGGGTGCAGGAGGAAGGGGAGAACAAGGAAAGAGACCTTAGTATCCTGAGGAAGACCAGTGATTTAGTTGCTGATTTAACATGCAACAACATGGCCATATCATTCATTTCAGTGCAGCAAACTGAGTACCTTTCTTCTATAAAACAAAAATTCAAACTGGAAGTCCAAGGAAATGAAAGATATATTTTGACCAAAAGAGACAGCACATTTACTTTAAATTTCCCAAGTTTTATCTCAACATCAATGCAACATCATTTAGTTTTAAAAGATTCAGAATTGAATTTCAGGACAGTAAATAGTGATACGTTACAGTCACCTGTTTTGCACCATTATTCAATGAACCATTTTGTAGAGCTACAACACAGGTGTGGTCGTATTTTCCTGCCCTGCTTAAAATGCAACATGAATTCCTTAAAAACTCTGACTTACCTATGTGAATTACCCATAAAATAATGGCACAAAATAATAAATATATCACGAACCTAGAGTACATATCAAGGTAGAAATAACCCAAAAGTTCACTAGAACGTAAGTCTAAAACTGAAAATAGTTGAACATCACAATGCCAAACCTCAGCATCTGAAATTTCTTCAAATCTTAAGCCTACATTGCAGGAAGGAGAGTGAGAGGCTATTTTTTTAACATGAGGACAATAAGTCAGAAGATATCCTTGGTTCTGGCAGAATATAATTACCAAAAAGGTCTTGACATATTTTGAAGATCCCTGACAAAACCAAATTGACAGGAAAGTACTGTTTAACAACTCCAAAGTCCAGATCAAACTGCTGTTCTTGCACCCTCTTCACATAGTATGGTAGATCCTCCACTCCAAAGTTAGATTCTCCTTCCTCTTTCTTCTGAAGCATCAGAATACAAAATCATCAAGACATGAAACAAATTATAGTGTAAGAAGGCATAAACTGCACACAGACTAAACTTTAAGTCTTCTGATTTAGCAAGTTCTAGACGTCAAATCAGCTATAGACCAAACAAAAACTAACCTTTAACTCTTTTAACATAGCAAGTTCTCTAGAGGCCAAATCAGTTAAACTGACAGAGATGTCTTCTAAGAACTCAAATACCTGAAAACAACAGAAACATGCTCATCTAATTAATCAGCATCCCGAAATCATGGTTGCAATATACAAGACATAAACCAAACAATAATAGAACAGTAAAATAGCCAAAAGCTAACCAAAAAAGAGTAACTTTCTTAACAATCACTGAAGGCTTCTATTGGTGACATCAAATACAATACAAGCACTGACAATGATGATCTAATCAGTTGATTAGGCGGTATAATATACTGATGATCTGATTCAACAAAGAAAAGCACTGGTGAAGACCGAAAAAGATAAACTTAATACCATACCCTTTATCCAAAAAATGGATCATTTATATTACTAAATGTAGTATTAAGTATCACTCAAGAATGTATTAACTGGCACAAACCTTTGAGGATGAGTTTGCCATTCTAAGATCAGCAACATAGTCAGCATAGTTTGAGTAGCCAAGCAATCTTGCTAGTTTATGACGCAATTGAACCTGAACAACATAAAAAGAAGATGAATGCCAGTCAGATTTCAATACTATAAAAGTCAAAAAATGTATGAATACTAAACATGATTTGTTGTATGATTGTATCAATCTTTTGATGTGGCCAGCAAGAAGTGCAAGTTGATATTTGCTAACATAAATTAAATTTAGCACCTTCTATTGCTCAATACTCAGTGTTTCCCCTTATGAAATACCATTCATGCACTATAATCAACTTTGAAACCAACCAGAACTATAAAATTCAATGTTTGGAGGAAGACATACATCTCATCTGAAGTTGACACAGTTAAATCAAATGAACCAAGACCCTTTTTAGACTGCCCTCAGTTTACAATTAAGTATGAAAAGAATTTAAAGATGAAGACGTCCACAATTAATCAGAAGACTTCCAGCTTTTTCCCCTTTTTGTTCTGTCAATTAAAGATTTACTAGGAGCAGTGCTACTGTAAATTAAATTGCTGTGTATCTCGACATATCAAAAATCCAAAACCAAAATAGGCTTGTCTCAATGCTTACCAGTTTTTCTAGGACAGTAAGATTGATTTCACATCTCCTCCCATAAGCCACAGCCACAAGCCTCCTGGTCAGTCCTACCTTCAGAGGTAAAAAAAAGAAACTTGTGAAGCACATACATATACAAGCTAGGTAGAAAGTACATTAATACAAAAACTTATAATAGAAAAAAAGAACTTTAATTGCAGACTTAAAAGGCAGCAGAATCTCTCCAACAAGAAGTTCGTGGGGAAAGAAGGATGAATCAGAATGACAAAACATCAAAGATTGTACCTTACAGAGCTCTAATACTGGTGAAACATGATGACTTCTCAGCATGACTTTCAATTTACCATTTTCAGCTTCGTCCAAACTCTGCAGAGAAACATGGCTGAAAATTATCTCAAGAAAAAGAAACAGTTTCAAATTGCATGCACTAAAAAAGAAGGTTCAAGAAAAATACATTCCAATATCAGTTAGACTTTAGAGACAACAGGTGCTGGACGGAAAATAAACAAATTTAACCTTTAGGAATTCTGGTGGTAGCCCAACTAGCTCCATCTGACCAAAGAGAAGAAACGTACTATCATCATTCAAATTCCGGATATATCGCATACTTAGCTCATCTATTTGAGTCCTCAATCGCTGCAATTCTTCTCTCTTGGTTAAGGTAAGGTTCAATCCATTGCGCTCAAAGTCTCTAACCTGTCACTGAATATCAAACAATAATTATCTGAACTTAAAGCCTGTTGCAGATTAATATTCGTTTCTTGAAATCCAAAGTAAAAACCATCCAATAAATCATGGCAATTCGAGTGGCCAGAGAGAGGAATGAAGCAAGTAATTAAACACAAATAGTCAACAACTTAGGGAGATGAAGTAAAATGTTTTATCCTAAAACAAAGTGACTACGAACAATAATTCCACAAATTTGTCACAGAAAAGAGAATACAATATACTTTCAACTCCATACCAGGAACTGAGTATAACGTTTAGCTTCAGGGTTCACCCATTCTCCCTTGGCTGCAAAAGCTTTGACGACACGATACACATCTTCACGTTTACTGAACAGCTTGCATGAATCAAAACTATAGAACGTCAGTTAAGTGGCAAGGCAATATATTATTTAGCATAATTTATCATGTATTTTCTATTTGTGATATTAAAATAGACATAAAGTGAAAGTAAAAAGTTCTTCAAATCGTATTCTAGAAGATATGATAAAACCCCCATGCTTTTCTTCATCATTAGAAAACATTATCCGCAACTTGCTCCAACTACATTGGACAAACTAGTTTCTCACAAAGACTTCTAACTGGTTCTACACTTACCATAACGTGCCTGATGCCACTCTTACCAAAAGAAATAAATAACTTCCATAGATTTCTTGGCACCTTAAAGCAAATGTTCACTCATGATCTTCACAATGGTTTTGAACTTTAACATTTGCTGGAATATTTTATTTCTAGAAGACGTTGTAATGGCCTTCATTCACCACATGTTACAAAACGTTCTTTTACAAAAGTCATCCCAACTTGCCGTGTCCATATATTCTGAGCAAATGTCATTTCAACAGCCATCCATCCAGTATAGATTGCCAAGTACAACATACATCACAGGTTGCTTGGAAGATACCTCTTCCAAATCAATCAACATCTGCTTCCAGCATAATGAATTAAACCCGCAAACCCATTGTGACCACCTAATTTAAATATGCTCGTGAGATTTTCAACAGAATATAAATTTGGAAAGGTTAAACATATTCGCAAGAGATATTTTAGCAATGAGAATTCCCAGCCCACACCTACTTTTGGAAAGGTTAAACACATCTGGTTCTTTACCTACTTTTTCAACTCTTAAACTGAGAAACGAAAGTGTCCAAATTGGAACTCATCCTTTACAGGGAATATATTGGATAATGGATGCTCACTCTTTGGTCCATTTTCTTCTTTGCGTTTCAAACTCATAACTTTTCTATAGACCATCTATTTAGACTCTTTATAGGAACATAAATTCCATGCCACCATTTCACCTCGCAAAACCCTACTACTGACTTCATTTTAAGTTCTAAACTTATCTTAAGCGTGGTTGTCAAATCGTGTACCAAAAGGCATATCGTTTTTCAAAAATAGTTTATTGTGTATCATATCATATCGTGTATAAAAGATAAGTGCAATTCTAAATAATTATTTATAAAATATATATACCTCTATAAAAAAAATCATAAACTCATAATAACATAGCATTTCATTAATATTTCACCAACTGTTCAAGTTTCCAAAATAGTTCCCTAATATCAAAATATAAAGATCTTTAATTTAAAATTCAAAAGGGCCTTTGTTGTGCGATGAATTGAGAAAGGCTTCTATTGCTTCACAGATCCAGAGGGTTAGAAGCTGCTTCTAGTCTTTGTCCACTGATGAAACAATGCCATTTCATTGGCTAGGACTTAAAAAAATAACATCTCATGAAACAGCATCGTTCAGCGCCAAAAACCAAAAAAAAAAAATTTATCTATTTGTATCGTATCTTGTATTGTACGAGACAGTGCAAAAATAATACAAAAGCACAATTTTTATCTTTTATTGTGTATCGTGATTCGATATATATCGTATAATACGTATTGCGTATCATATCTTAAGTATCCCCGATAGTTTTTTAAGCCTTTAAAAATGGCACTATATAAGTAAAAGTGAAAAACACGTCATCGCAACTCACAAGTACTCACAGAGCAAAAATAAGTAGATGAAAGAAGGGTAGACCTGCACATGGAAACATGAGCATCTATTCTCCGCTCCGCATCAGCACTTGCTTTCCGCGCATCTTCCAAAGTGGATACCAATTTTGGGAAGACACAGGACTGTACCAATGGGAATTGTTGTGCTTCCAATTCAGCCAATGGTACAATCACGTTGGCATATGTAACCTGATAATTAACCCAATATCAAACACAACTCTCTAACATATATAGACCCAAAGAAGAGAACTAGATTGGTGTTTTCCAAAATTCAAAATATAGAATGACCAACATACAAGATTCATCGTAGTTTCAAATGTCATCAATTAGAGCTTTATACGTGATAACGAAAAATGTACTTAGTTTCTAAACTTACATACATGCATTAAGCATGAGAATATCATAATCGAGTTGAGTTGCTTTTGCACGTGTGAGAGGAGAACGTTGCTTCTTTTTCCCTACAATCGACCTTGTGCTTTGACAAAAAGGGGGAAAAACTTTTTTCTCACAATCNCTTTATACGTGATAACGAAAAATGTACTTAGTTTCTAAACTAACATACATGCATTAAGCATGAGAATATCATAATCGAGTTGAGTTGCTTTGCACGTGTGAGAGGAGAACGTTGCTTCTTTTTCCCTACAATCGACCTTGTGCTTTGACNACTACTGACTTCATTTTAAGTTCTAAACTTATCTTAAGCGTGGTTGTCAAATCGTGTACCAAAAGGCATATCGTTTTTCAAAAATAGTTTATTGTGTATCATATCATATCGTGTATAAAAGATAAGTGCAATTCTAAATAATTATTTATAAAATANATAATTTATCATGTATTTTCTATTTGTGATATTAAAATAGACATAAAGTGAAAGTAAAAAGTTCTTCAAATCGTATTCTAGAAGATATGATAAAACCCCCATGCTTTTCTTCATCATTAGAAAACATTATCCGCAACTTGCTNAGAATTTATCATGTATTTTCTATTTGTGATATTAAAATAGGCATAAAGTGAAAGTAAAAAGTTCTTCAAATCGTATTCTAGAAGAAATGATAAAACCCCCATGCTTTTCTTCATCATTAGAAAACATTATCCGCAACTTGCTCCAACTACATTGGACAAACTAGTTTCTCACAAAGACTTCTAACTGGTTCTACACTTACCATAACGTGCCTGATGCCACTCTTACCAAAAGAAATAAATAACTTCCATAGATTTCTTGGCACCTTAAAGCAAATGTTCACTCATGATCTTCACAATGGTTTTGAACTTTAACATTTGCTGGAATATTTTATTTCTAGAAGACGTTGTAATGGCCTTCATTCACCACATGTTACAAAACGTTCTTTTACAAAAGTCATCCCAACTTGCCGTGTCCATATATTCTGAGCAAATGTCATTTCAACAGCCATCCATCCAGTATAGATTGCCAAGTACAACATACATCACAGGTTGCTTGGAAGATACCTCTTCCAAATCAATCAACATCTGCTTCCAGCATAATGAATTAAACCCGCAAACCCATTGTGACCACCTAATTTAAATATGCTCGTGAGATTTTCAACAGAATATAAATTTGGAAAGGTTAAACATATTCGCAAGAGATATTTTAGCAATGAGAATTCCCAGCCCACACCTACTTTTGGAAAGGTTAAACACATCTGGTTCTTTACCTACTTTTTCAACTCTTAAACTGAGAAACGAAAGTGTCCAAATTGGAACTCATCCTTTACAGGGAATATATTGGATAATGGATGCTCACTCTTTGGTCCATTTTCTTCTTTGCGTTTCAAACTCATAACTTTTCTATAGACCATCTATTTAGACTCTTTATAGGAACATAAATTCCATGCCACCATTTCACCTCGCAAAACCCTACTACTGACTTCATTTTAAGTTCTAAACTTATCTTAAGCGTGGTTGTCAAATCGTGTACCAAAAGGCATATCGTTTTTCAAAAATAGTTTATTGTGTATCATATCATATCGTGTATAAAAGATAAGTGCAATTCTAAATAATTATTTATAAAATATATATACCTCTATAAAAAAAATCATAAACTCATAATAACATAGCATTTCATTAATATTTCACCAACTGTTCAAGTTTCCAAAATAGTTCCCTAATATCAAAATATAAAGATCTTTAATTTAAAATTCAAAAGGGCCTTTGTTGTGCGATGAATTGAGAAAGGCTTCTATTGCTTCACAGATCCAGAGGGTTAGAAGCTGCTTCTAGTCTTTGTCCACTGATGAAACAATGCCATTTCATTGGCTAGGACTTAAAAAAATAACATCTCATGAAACAGCATCGTTCAGCGCCANACAAATGAGTTTTTACGTCGATGGATGGTGTATAATAAAACATACAAATGTGTTGATTAGGCTTATTTTATATGTTTGTACTTGAGGATGAAAAAATTAATCTAAGGGAAAAGTTTATTTAGTCTAAGTTCAACCCATCTTATCAAGAATTTTAATTTAAATAAGATTCTACATATCATGAAAATTTTGAATTTTGAATTTTTTTNAAAAAAAATTATCTATTTGTATCGTATCTTGTATTGTACGAGACAGTGCAAAAATAATACAAAAGCACAATTCTTATCTTTTATTGTGTATCGTGATTCGATATATATCGTATAATACGTATTGCGTATCATATCTTAAGTATCCCCGATAGTTTTTTAAGCCTTTAAAAATGGCACTATATAAGTAAAAGTGAAAAACACGTCATCGCAACTCACNAATACTGACTTCATTTTAAGTTCTAAACTTATCTTAAGCGTGGTTGTCAAATCGTGTACCAGAAGGCATATCGTTTTTCAAAAATAGTTTATTGTGTATCATATCATATCGTGTATAAAAGATAAGTGCAATTCTAAATAATTATTAATAAAATATATATACCTCTATAAAAAAAATCATAAACTCATAATAACATAGCATTTCATTAATATTTCACCAACTGTTCAAGTTTCCAAAATAGTTCCCTAATATCAAAATATAAAGATCTTTAATTTAAAATTCAAAAGGGCCTTTGTTGTGCGATGAATTGAGAAAGGCTTCTATTGCTTCACAGATCCAGAGGGTTAGAAGCTGCTTCTAGTCTTTGTCCACTGATGAAACAATGCCATTTCATTGGCTAGGACTTAAAAAAATAACATCTCATGAAACAGCATCGTTCAGCGCCAAAAACCAAAAAAAAAAAAATTATCTATTTGTATCGTATCTTGTATTGTACGAGACAGTGCAAAAATAATACAAAAGCACAATTCTTATCTTTTATTGTGTATCGTGATTCGATATATATCGTATAATACGTATTGCGTATCATATCTTAAGTATCCCCGATAGTTTTTTAAGCCTTTAAAAATGGCACTATATAAGTAAAAGTGAAAAACACGTCATCGCAACTCACAAGTACTCACAGAGCAAAAATAAGTAGATGAAAGAAGGGTAGACCTGCACATGGAAACATGAGCATCTATTCTCCGCTCCGCATCAGCACTTGCTTTCCGCGCATCTTCCAAAGTGGATACCAATTTTGGGAAGACACAGGACTGTACCAATGGGAATTGTTGTGCTTCCAATTCTGCCAATGGTACAATCACGTTGGCATATGTAACCTGATAATTAACCCAATATCAAACACAACTCTCTAACATATATAGACCCAAAGAAGAGAACTAGATTGGTGTTTTCCAAAATTCAAAATATAGAATGACCAACATACAAGATTCATCGTAGTTTCAAATGTCATCAATTAGAGCATTATACGTGATAACGAAAAATGTACTTAGTTTCTAAACTAACATACATGCATTAAGCATGAGAATATCATAATCGAGTTGAGTTGCTTTTGCACGTGTGAGAGGAGAACGTTGCTTCTTTTTCCCTACAATCGACCTTGTGCTTTGACAAAAAGGGGGAAAAACTTTTTTCTCACAATCAAAGTTAGAATAGAAAATATATTAGCTTCCTATGCAGCATGACACTCCTATTCCAGCTTTATTTGCCAACGATTCATTTATTGAAGCCAGAAATAGCTCAAATATAAGTCCAATGTTTCGACCAAAGTTCTTCAACAGCAATTATTAATCCAGCAACACTAACAATGTCTTAGAAAATGAGTATGGAAATGATACAAAAAACGACAAAATAAATAAATAATTCTACGATTACTCTGGTAAATATACTGGAACAAAAATTGACTGCAGGAAAGTGTGATAAGAGTACCTTGTCAAGAGGAATAGAAGCAACAGCATCATGAATCTCCTTCGATTTGGCAATTATGCGGTCGGCTACTCTAAGGATTTCAGATGCAGATAGAGTGATGAAAACATTCGATCCTGGAAGCACTGAAACGTAGAGATTGCATTGAAAACGTAGAAATTACTCTACAACGACCAAATTTGAACTGTGAAATTAATTAAATATGCTATAATTAACACCAAAAAACTAATTTAATGCGTTAAAAATTAATACACAAATACATCAAGATATATCAAGAGAAAGAGGTCGACCTTTCTTCTTGCGATTCTTCTTCTGGGAGTTGATAGCAGTGATGACGAAGTTGACAAAGACGGCGAGCAGAGCAGCCGCTCCGGTGAGGGCGATAAGATTGTTTCGTTCTCTCTTCTGTTTGGCCATTTTCTGTCTCCAGTTGAGGTAGGCGTGACGTTCTGAATCTAAACCCTCTCTCGTTCTCTGTCTCTCAAGGCTCACCAAACGGCAAATGCGAGGGAAATTTTTGTAGCTGATGGCGGAGAGAAAATTGACCACTTCACATCCCAACATAAAAAACGACGTCACGGGAAAACAATTTAAGGAAGAATCGCATTTTATACCCCAAAACATTTTAAAATTCTCAATTTATACACTCAATAGTTAATTTTTTATATTATGCCCTCAATATTATAAAATTATTAAGAAAAATTACACAAAAATATCTAAAGTTTGTACGCACGTAACACTTAAACCCTTATCATAAATGTCTGTTATATATTCATTAATAAATTATATCCAGACTTCCTAAAGTTTATAGGAGTATAGTACTTATATTTCTCAAGTTTAAAATATCATATTTAGACCACTTATTAATTAATTACGAAATTAATGAAATCTATTAAACAACTAAATTACTTCTAATTAAAAAATATATATATTGTGTCCATTATAGTTTGACACTT